CTGCTCTGTAATATTTCAAAACAAGCACCAAAAGAAAAGTTCAGCAGGGAAGCGAGGTGAGGGGTGCAGGTACTGATGGCTTTTTGTCTGGTCTGTTGCGAACCAGAAAAACAAACTAGAAGAATTTTTATGTAAGTGTAAATAATTAAAATGAGAGGGCCAAAGACTGAGAAGGCACTAACAAACAGTCCGTAGATGTTATTGACTGTGGTGTCGTAGCAGGCCAGTTTCACAATAGAGTGGTTATCACAGTACACTTTGTTAATGATGTTCCCACACAGCTGTAAAGGAACAATCAAAGGCAGTGTACAAAAATTTACAATAAATACAACTGACCAGGTTACAGCAATAAGGACGGCAACTCTGTTAGATGTCATACGTGTGTTATATTGCAGAGGACAACAGATAGCGAGGTACCGGTCATAAGACATGACAGCTAAGTTCAAAAATTCTACACTTCCATAAGAGTACACACAGAAAATCTGCAGGAAACAAAATGAAGCAGCAACAGTGTGAGCATCAGAGAGAATCTGAACCAGAAGCATTGGAAACAACCCTGTACTACCATACAGTTCATTTACAAACAGGCTGCTACAGAATAATGTACATAGGGTTCATGTAAGCTTTCTGTTCATACGATAGCTACAACCGGCAAAACATTGGCAAAAAACAATAAAAAATATATAGACAAATGACAATCATGAAATAAAGGTATTTTTAAATGCCCGGTGTCAAAAATAGGCACCAAATGTGAAATATGAAACCTGTGTAGAGTTTATCATGAGCCTCCTTCTGGTTCACAACAACTCTACTGTGTACTTTTTTTGTGACACTTTTGTTGCATTTTTACATTTCACATTGTTGTGGATTCAACTGGTTATAATGAGTCTGTTTTAAACGTTTGCCTGTTTAGCACAATGTGCAGCTGAAACAAACACATAGAAACAGAGGTCAGCATAAACGTACTAAACAGGTTCATTATAATAGATACAGTTTGATCTAACAACCCCAAACAGACCATTTTCTATCCAAAGTCAGTACAGTGTTTAAGTTAGAAAGTTGAAAAATAATTGTGTTACATTGAGCGTTCACCTGTCGGCCTGCTGCAGTCCCTCCTAACTGAACTCAAACTCTGCTTTCACTTCTTTTAAACGTTTAAAGACACAGAACACCCACAGCAGCAGAGTGACCTCATTATAAAAGGTCACGATTAATAAAGACCAATCCTACGTCTATACTTGCAAAAAAAGAAGAAAAACCAGTATTTGGTTCCATGTCAGTTATGTTATGTTTTTGTTACATGATCAATACAAATATCAAATTATCAAATAATTAGTACTTCCTAAAGGTCCAGTGTGTAACAATGAGGAGGATCTATTGTCATTAATGTAATATAATCTTAACCCTTTAGGCGCCAGGTT